ATACGTAAGTCAATAAATGGTAAATAATATAAATGGACCTAAAGGCAAAAATCAAATGATCATCTCAATAGACAAAGACTAGACCATTGACAAAATCCAACATGAATTCCTGATAAAAGTCTTATAGGGAACTGGACTAGAAGGAACAAACCTCAACATAATTAAGGCTATTTAGAACAAACCCTCAGCAACATCATGGAGAAAAACTGGAAGCACTACCATTCCCAGACAAAGCTGTCCACTATCCCCACTCTTTTTTTCAATATAGTGCTTAAAACTCTAGCTAGAACAATAAGACAAAAGAAAGAAATTGAAGGGGCATTAATTGGAAAAGAAGTCAAATTATCCTTATTTATAGATGATATGATATTATACATAAGTGATCCCAAAAAATTCTATCAGAAACCTCCTAGAAATGATTGGTACTTTCAGCAAAGTGGCAGGTTACAAATTCAATATACAAAAATTAGTAGCCTTAGTATATACAAATAACAAGCAAGCAGAGAAAGTTCAGGGAAACACTTCCATTCACAATAGCCTCAAAGCATATCATGGGATAAGTCTAATCAAAGACATTAAAGACCTCTTCAATTAAAACTTTAAATCCTTGAGGCCAGGTGTGGTGGCCCATGTGTTTGATCCTAGCACTTGGGAGGCAGAGGCAGGTGAATCTTTGTGAGTTAGAGACCAGCCTGATCTATATAGCAAGCTTCAAGCCAGCTAGGGATACAGGGAGACCCTGTCTCAAGTAAATAAACAAAAAATTTAAATCTTTGAAGAAAGAGACTGAGGAAGAAACAAGGAGAGGAAAAGACCTCTCATACTCATAGGTTGGTAGAATATGGTGAAAATTATCATCCTATCAAAAGCAATTTATAGATCCAATGCAATCTGAATCAAAATCCCCATGACATCCTTCATAGAAATAGGAAAATCTATCCTAGAATTCATATGGAAACTCAAAAGACATTGAACAGCCAAAACAATCCTGAGCACAAAGAGAACTCTGCTGGGGGGATTACCAAACTAGACCCCAATCTACATTACAGAGCCATCATCAAAAAAACCAGCATGGTATTGGCACAAAAGCAGATTTGTAGATCAGTGGAACAAAATAGATAACTCAAACAGGAGTGCATGCAGTTTCAACCACCTAACCACCTGATGTTTGACAACGGTGCCATGAGCACACACTGGAGGAAAGACAGCATCTTCAACCAATGGTGCTGACAAAACTGGATCTCCACATAGATGGAGAGCTACAGAAGACTGAAATTAGACCCATGCCTATCACACTGCAAAAAAGACAAATCCAAATGGGCCAAAGGTCTCAATGTGAATCCTGGAACACTGAAACTGTAACAAGAATACATAGTTCTATACAAGATTAAGGCGCAGGAAAGGACATTCTAAATCGCACATCAGTTTCTTAGGAATTAAGGTCAAAAACTGACAAACGGCAACTCCTTAGACTAAAAAGATTTTGTACAGCAAAGGAAACAACCAATAGAACGCAGAGGAGGCCTACAGAGTGGGAGAATCTTCACCAGCTGTTCATCTAACAGATGATTAATATCCAGAATATGCAAAGAACTCAGAAAACAAACAAGGAGGAAAATAAATGGCCCAATTATAAAATGGGCTATGGATCTGAACAGAGAGATCTCGAAAGAAGAAATAACAATGGCTTTGAAACACCTTAAAAAGTGTTCAACATCCTCAGTAATTAGGGAAATCTGTATCAAAACCACTCTAAGATTTTTATCTTACACCAATCAGAATGGCTAAAATCAAGAGAACAAATGACATCAAATGCTGGCATGGATGTGGGGGAAAGGGAACCTTCATCCACTGTTGCTGGGATTTCAAATTGGTGCAACCACTGTGGAAGTCAGTATGGAGATCTCTTCAAAAGTTAAAAATAAGCCTACCAAGTGATCCTGTCATACAATTCCGTAGCATATACCCAATGAACCCATCCTACTACAGAAATAATTGTACAGCCATATTTGTTGCTACTTTTTTCACAATAGCTAAGAAATAGAAACAGCCTAAATGTCTCTCAACTCATGAATGGATAATGAAAATGTGGTACAGTTACACAATGGAATTCTACTCAGTGAAAGAAAAACAAAATCATGAAATTTTCAGGTAAATGGATCAAGCTAGAAACTTTTATATTAAGTGAAGTAACAGGGACTCAGAAAAACAAATGATATATGTTCTCTCTCATTTGTAAATCTTAGCTCCCAATACCTAGAGTGATTATATAACCTTATGTAACTGGAGGAGCCAGGAAAATGGAAGGGAACCATGAGAATAAAGGGGAAGGAGCTCTAGAGAGGGAGATAGTAGGAGACAAAGGGGAAATGGGGACAGGGAAGTACTTTAACTGAGGAGGGAGTAGGGAGGGTTATACAGGGGGAGTGAGAAGACAGATAATGCTTAGATGGAATGAAAAACCAGAGAGAAATGTATTAGTTTAAAAGCCTACTGGAAAACACACACACATACAATATATATGTATGTGTGCCTGTGTTCAGCTGGAAGCTGCATAACAAAAAGTGCAGTGCCAGGCAGAAGAAATTTCCCTTCAAATCATTGGTCAGGATAGTCCAAGAGACTCCCCAAAAAACACAGGCTATTGCCACAGCCTTTGATTGCCTCCCAGAACTTGAAGGCAAGACCCTATTGCTGAAGACAGGTCACACTTCTGACTTGGAGCAATTGAGCTGGGAATGATTTGGAAGCCTCCTCCCTGAAGACTAGCTCTTGGTAATCAGAAGATGCTACACATGCTGCCAAGGGAGAAATCCAATCAATGGTTTTACCCAGCTGTGAAGCCTAAAAAACAATGACTAGCCCAGCAAACCATTGTTACTGGTGTAGTAATGGCACTTTCAACATCAGGGTAATCCATAGATGTCTAATTGGAATTAAGGCCTACTCAAAGAAAGTGAACAAATGTGTGACACTGAAAATGTAGCCAAATACACATGGCTGGAGAGGTCACAGATCCTAGAGAAAAACCTACTTTTGCCACATCTCTAGACCAATTTTAATTTCTTACTTTATTCTAAATATTTATCCTCATATTTACAGACAAGTGTATCTTTTGTCCCTTATCAAAGAATATTCTTTTTACAAAAGATGGAGAATATTACAGTGTTCCAGTACTAGTCTAATGGGTAGAATAAGTGTCTGCGAGCTACTTAACCCTAAGTGACACATCCTCAATCAACCTCTATACATATGATAAATGCATCTTTCGACTCTCACCAGAGAAGTTTTCTTATACAGTAGATGATGATTAACACAGAAACCTACAACTGGTCAGTGTGCAGAGAACAAGAGGCCACAGAGTGCTTATCTCTGAATAGGACACCTATTCCAAACCTCTGCCTCCCAAGGCTCAGGGATCATTGCAGAAGAGGAAGTAGAAAGACTGTAGAGTCATAGCTGGCAAATGGCCAAAAGAGATGGGGTCTTCCACAGCTGGCCATTCACTCATAGGAACTCGCAGCAACTATGGCAGCATGCACAAGTGCTATGCAAGTGCAAATCAGACAAAATCCCAACACAGACATGGGGGAGTGGGTAAGAAATCCCAATCCAACCTAAGAAACTTTTGACAATGTACGGCTTCTGGGAGGTAGAAAGACAATGTCTTACAGGGATGGGACGCTTGGTGAGCCCAGGGGATGGACCCACTGAAGGACATTTGGGGACACAAATGAGACTCTATAAGTTTGTGTGTGTGTGTGTGTGTGTGTGTGTGTGTGTGTGTACATTAAATTTGATGGAGGAATGTAAATACCATCAAACTATGTTGTATGACACTTGCAAAAATTCAGTTAAAATGCTTATATTATTTTAAAATAAAATATATATAAAATAAAAATAAAAATTCATAATCTCTGAGTTTTTAAAGAAACAAAAAGTGAATATACAGGCATGTGTAGTTCTGATGTAATTCTTGTACATGAGAAACATAGCTATGACTCATACAGCTCAGTATTACAAATTAGTGAAGCTTTAACCATGCTATGTCAAAGTACAGATCACAAAGTGATGGAAATACCTTCTAAGAATGTAAGAACTGCACTTGCTTATGGCAAACTTTTCATGCCAGGTGTCTTAGTTACTTTTCCTGTTGCTGTGGTAAAATGCTATTACAAAAGTAACTTACAGAAGGAAGGGTTGATTCTGGCTCACAGAACAAGAGCACAGTCCATTCTGGGAGGAAAGCAGCAGGAGCTCAAAGCAGTCATCGCATCACATTCACAAGCAAGAGTCAGACAGCGATGAATGCATGCTACTGTTCTGCTTGTTGTCCCTTTTTAATGCCATCCAGACCCAACCCAGAGCTGGTACCTCCTGCACTGGGCAGATTTTGCACCTAATAAGTTGATCATGATAATCCTTCACAGAAATGCTCAGAAGCTTCTCTCCCAAGTGATTCCAGATTGTCACTTGACAGTTAACACTCACTATCACTCTGGGTCACTGGATGTAGCTATTTGTCTTTACCATCTCCAGAAAATGAACATACATGGTCATGCGCATGTACACATACACACATACAAACATGCACATATATACAAGTATGCAAAAGTCACAAAGATGCACACACAAACAGAGAGACTCCAGTAAAGGCATGGAATTTTATTGCAATGTAAGCTAAAAGCATTGACTTCAACAAAATTATTTTTGTAAATTTTGGAAGATAATAAAGGATGAACTAGAAATTAACTGCACAGATCAAATGCAGGAGAGAAGAGTACATGGTACTGGGTAACCTTTGAAATGTCCTGAATCTGAAATCAAAGGTGTAAGGTCGGGGTTGGTGGAGCAAAACAAGGTGTCAATCATACACTGTGTTACTTCTCTGAACAGGCCCATATTGGTTGACATTTATGTTGCTACTAACTCTTTATTGCTACAATAGTGTAGTAAACACCCATGTGCAGAGAAACTTGCCATTACTTTAAATCACGTACCAATATTTTCATAATGTCCTCCCCCACTCTCTTCTTCAGATACATCAGTGAGTAGAATTTCATTGTACTATGGAAGAGAAATGCAAGTAAATCACAGTTGCTTTCCCATAATGGTGAAAGAATGTTTAGAAATTTTGTTTCTAGAAAACATAGCCCAAGGAATAGAAGGTTAACTAGAAAGATACCTTTGACTTGCACTGACAACATACTTCCTAGAAAAGTTGTCACGTGTCAGGGACTAGTTATAAAGTGCTACAGCTTACATAGAGTGCCCCATACATTAAAAGCTTAGGCTCAGGCCTGGAGAGATAGTTCAGCAGTTAAGAGCACTAGCTGCTCTTGCAGAGGACCCAGGTTCGAGTCCCAGCACCCACATGGTGGCTAACAACCATGCACAACGCCATTTCCAGGGGATCCAATATCATCTTCCGACCTCCGTGAGCACTATACCACACAGGTGCACTTGCACACATGCAGGCAATACACTCGAACACATAAAATTGTGGTGGCGCACACCTTTAATCCCAGCACTTGGGAGGCAGAAGCAGGCGGGGACTACAGGGAGACCCTGTCTCAAAAAGACCAAATAAATAAATAAAATAAAATAAAAATAAATAATAAATAATAAATATATTTTTAAAAACTTTAGGCTCAGGGGCTGGGGAGATGGCTCAGTAATTAAGAACATTGGTTGTTCTTGCAGATGACCCAAGTACAAATCCCAGCACCCACATGGCAGCTAACAACTGTCCATAACTCCAATTCCAGGGGATCCGATGGCCTTTCTGTCCTCGGTGGGCATTGCAAGACACGGGTATACTTACCTACATGCAGGCAATACATGCATACACATAGACTAAAAGTAACAAAATATTTTTAAAAAGCTATAACTTTAGGCTCCCCAATCTTTGACACTAGTGGAAAGTTGTGGAAACTTTGAACATAGGGCCTAGTTAAAACAAGATAGTTCACTGGGGCCCACCCATTAAGAGGATCTTGGTACACTGATCTCCTCCCCTCCTCTTCCTTTGCCACTTCTCAGCCTCCATGAGTTGAGCTACATGCTTCACTGCAAACTTCACGCAATGGTGTATCACTTATCCACTGTCCTACAGCAATAGGACTCTGAGACCTCTGAGACCATGAGGTAAAATACACCTTTCCTCCTTACAAGTCAGTCTTCTAGGTGTTTTATCACAGTTACATAAGGCAGCCTAACACATATGATAGAAAATATGCTCAGTGGTTAAGAGCACTGGTGCTCTTTCAGAGGACCTGGGTTCAGTTCCCAGCACCCACATGGTGACTAACAACCATCCCTAACTCCAGTTTCAGGGGAATCTGATGCCCTCTTCTGACCTCTGTGGGCATTGTATGACATGGGTGCACTTACACGCATGCAGGCAATACACTAATACACATAAAATAAAAATAAACAGATCATACCTGAGGACGATCTATTTCACCTGCTACAGCTCTCCTCTCTTCATCGATCAAGTTTATGACTTTTTTATTAATAAGTGGTGCGTTTGCACCCTGAATCTTTGCAATAATTTTACCATTCTGTAAAAGAAAGGAAAACATGAAGGAAATTTCATCTTCATAGTAAGTCAAGAATTAGCATTTAAAATCTGGACTGTTGTTTTTTTGTTGTTGTTGTTGTTGTTCCCAATTCACACCAATCCTCTTTCAGCTATTTTAATTAGAAACTTTAAAGTATCAGTGATGGGAAAGTTCACCTTATTTGGTAAGGTCACAAATAAGAGTACACACTCGTTCTGTCTGACCTCCTACAGCTCAAGGCATAGCTATACCCTAATCACCTTGCAGCAGCAGCATCCTGCAGCCCAAGGACAGGCTATACCCCAATCACTTTGCAGCATTATCACCCTGTAGAAGCACTCACATGATGCCTGTCTGATCATCCTTGCTTTAAATGTGAGGAATTCAGGATTTAAATGTAACTGGCTTCCGAACAGTACTCTCCCTAGTTTATTTGGATGCTGTTCTAATTTGATCTCCATTGCTGTAATAAAACCCTCTGACCAAAAGCAGCTTGAGGAGGAAAGGGTTTATTTGACTTACACTTCCAGGTCACAATCCATTGAGAAAAGTCAGGGCAGGAGCTTAAAAAGAAAGTTTAAGCAGAGCCATGAAGGGACACCGTTTACTGTCTTGCTCTGACTCACTCTCAGGCCCATGCTCAGCTAGTGTTCTTATACAGCCTAGGACTCCCTGCCTAGGGATGATGCCACCCACAGTGAGTTGGACTACATATTGAGGCGCTCCTGTCAGATGACTATAGGTCGTGCCAACTTGATGATTAAAGCTTACCAGAAGAGATGCCACAGACTTTTAAATCTGTCTTTCAACTCATATTTACTAAGCATCTGTTTACTAATATGGAACCAGGCCTGATGGTATAGAATGATAGGCCTTGTAGCTAACAGCATTAAATAGCAAAAATCTTAAACAAAGAAACGAAAAATCCACAAACCTATTCATGGAAGAGTAACTGTAACAGATCCCTCTGGAGAGGCTCAAACCATTCATATCTGAACTTGTCCTGATCATTGAAATCAGTTGAAATACTATTCAATATCAGCATCCTTAAAATATGAAGGCTGAGTAAGAGATAATGAGGAAAAAGAGAGAAGGAAAAAATGCCTTGCAGAAAAAACAATAGATGAGAAGGTCCAGGGTGTCAGGAGACAGGGCAAGCGAGGGCACCTCGGGGATAGTGAGGGTAAGCCCAGCATGTTTCAAGGAAAGACGGAGCATGCAGAGCCCTGGGCACCTTGGAAGAGGCAGCCTCCCTCCTAAATGCAGCTGGAAACCAATGGAACGTTGAAGCATAGATTGTGCCCCGGGTTAGAATTCTTACTGTGAAGACTATTTTGTCTACCGTGTGGAAAAACTTTGGTGGGGGGAGCAAAAGATGTGTGTTCACAATCCAGGAGTGACCATAAGGTTTTGTAGACTCTGACATAGGTGGCAAAGATTCAAGTAGTGAGAAGAAGTAGACGGTCAGAGATGCAGCAGTGGAGATGGCTTGTTCCATTGTGGTTCAGACTGGATGTGGTATGAACAAAGTTACTAGGAAAACTTCTTTCTGTTCCTTAGAAACTGGGCATTTTGCATGTTGTGGTTTATGATGCCACTTGCCAAGTAAGGAGGCTCTAGAAGACCATTTGCAGGATGGTGCAGTGTCAGGAGGGCTTGTTGGTTTTGTTTATTGTTGTTTATTGCCTTCAAGCAAACCAAGAGGACTTAAGACACAAGTTTGGTACTCAAGTCAGTAGTTTGAAGTATAGGATTTGAGTCGACAGGTAGATGGTAGTCACTGTGAGTGTATAAGGAGGATGTTTTCTAAGAAGAGTGTCCTTCTAAAGGCCTGCAAAAGAGAGGGAGGGAGGTGAAAGAAAACCCGAGTCATAAGATCCAAATGCATCCAATGCTTCAGAAGGGAGGGCACGGTCACCATTGAAATGCAGTTGAACAGAGCAAAGTGTTTAACACCTGAAATACCCATCGCATTTACCAACAGGGTGGTGTGTTGAGTAGGTTCAGTTGTCAACTTGACACACTTGGGTAGAGGATGCCTCAACTGAGGAATTGTCTCCTTTAGATTGGCTTGTGGCCATGTCTGTTGGGGCATTTTCTTGATTGTTGAGTGATGTGGGAGGGCTCAGCTCACCGTGGGCAGAGCCACCCCTGGGAGATGGTCCTGTATTGTTTAAGAAAGCAGGTTGTGTATGGGCCAGAGGAGCAAGCCAGTAAGCAGCATACCTCCACGGTCTGTGCTTCAGATTCCTGTCCCGAGTTCTTGCCTCAGTGATGAACTGTGACCCAGGAGATGTAAGATAAACTAAACCCTTACCCCCCTAGGTTGACTTTGGTCAGTGTTTTTTGACTAATTTTATTGGTTTTTTTTATGTATATGAATGTTATACCTGCACGTGTGTAAGTGCACCCATGTCCTGCAATGCCCATAGAGGACAGAAGAGGCCATCAGCTCCCCTGGAACAGGAGTTATAGACAATTGTTAGCCACCATGTGGGTGCTGGGATTCCAATTCAGGTCTTCTTCTAGAACAGTCAGTGCTCTTAACCACCGAGGCATCTTTCCAACCCTTGGTCAGTATTTTTACAACAGCAATTGATAACAAACTAAGACAGCTGGTAAGTAGAGATAACAGCAAAAGCAGTTTTGGTGGAATAATCAGAAGTCATATCAAGTGGATTGATGCATTTATGGGATAGCAAGTAATACAGCTAACATAAATACTGAAACTTGGGCAACAGGTTAGTTGTCAGGCAAAAAAAAAAGAAATGGGTGGATCGAGAGATGGACCCAGTTTCAATTAGAAGCATTGTTTTTACCTGGGTGTGGTGATGCACACTTTTAACCCCAGCAATAGGGAGGCTGCAGCAGGAGGATCTCAAATTTGATACCAGGCAGACAGTTCTCTTGATTCAGGCTGTTCCTTGTGAAACTTCCTGGAATGAACCTAATTGTCGGCTAAGAAACCTGACTAAAGGAAGGTCAATGTGGGAGTATTTAAATAAACAGACAATAAGCTCCATGGTAGTTTTGTTGCCACAGAACAAGATTCTTATATAAGTGGCTACTGATGTGGCACATTTAACCATATAAGTGTGTGAGGCACAACACAGGAGCTACTGGATGTGGTGTGTTGGCAGAAAAGATCATTGATGGAAAAGAGAGCAAGAATTAATATTTCAAGGGCAGTGGGTTGCCAGGTACACACTGAAATTCCCAGGGGAAAGGCGGGATTTTGGTTTAAGAATCAAATTTTGAACTTCATACCAAACTGCAATCATGAGCAGAAATTGCTCTCAAAATCAGTGATAGGATTGAGACAGAAGAGAAAGAAAGTTAGCTAAATGTAATGAATTCTAATAAGCAAGAAAAATAAAGCAAGTGAAGTATGAGTAATGGGAAGTAAGAAAAGCATCTGTTTTGCTCCTGATTTTCACAAGATTAAAAAAAAAGTCAACACTTCTATGTTGTTGGCAAAATGTTCCAAACCAGTCCATTCCTTTGTTTGTGTGGTTTCTCATTCTGTTTCCTTAAATTACATGTAGGCTAGATGACAGCAAACTGTGAGTTGGAGAACAAAGACCAGATTGCTCTGAAAGCTGGAAATATTTAGTGCCTGACCCTTCACATAAAAATGTGGTTGATCCCTCATCCAAACTATCAAATTCTATATATTAAGCATACAGAGTAAACCAATATACTTTAAAAAATTCAGCTAGCTCAGTAATTCTTTTCCTTAAAGGAGTTTCAAGATTATTTAACAGAAACAAGTTATACCTAAGAAGTATTTTTGACAATTATTTTTAGTATTGAAAAATAAATGTCCTTCACCAGATGTCTGAGCAAGTGGTGTGCACTGTGAAGCTTTTCTTGGCTATCCCAGTTTGTACTCGGTACTCTGTATCACAGGACTAAGCCTTGTCTGTACACTAATCTGAGGAAATAATGTTTATGGCCTGGAGAGATAGCTGATCAGTTAAGAGTACTGGCTGCTTTGCAGAAGACCTAAATTTGGTTCCGAGTACCCACATGATGGCTAGTGACCTTCCATTAAGTCTCCAGTTCCAGAAGCTCTGACGCCCTCTTCTGGCCTGCTTGGACATTCCATGCAAGGGTGCACTTACATACATTTAGGCAAAACACCCATACACACAAAATAAAAATAAATCAAAAAGGGAAATAACATTTCTATGCTTCCTATTTCAGTTGTGTTCACAGAACATTGGTAAATAACAGGAAAGGGTAAAAGAAGAAAAGATCGTCACTCCTTCCCCCATATGTAGAGAACAACTGTAACAACTGGGGGAATGCACTCTCCCTACTATTACTAACCCTTCTTAAATACTGAAATGAAATTAAAATGTACTAGAAAGTAGTGACTATAAAGATGCTTTTACATGAATACATGAATATTTGTAACATTTTCTCTGCAAGTCACCTGAGCACCTACTTCATCCTACAAATTTCAGATATTTTCTTTGCTAAAGGTAAGTACCACCTTGTTTTTCTTTTCTCTGATCATCCCAGTGTATGACAGTCTATGCTCTTCAATTTATTACAAGTTCCTAGAGGAAAAATTATTAAATGTATTATCAGACAAGCAGAGAGAATGCAAGCTCAGTGCAATGACTGCCATCAGCAAATAGTCCCGTGGTAATTTTCTGTACTACTTGCTAGTAAACTGGAATCAGATAACACGATAATGAACGCTATACTTACAAGACTAAAGAGGAAAACGGGTTCACATTTATCTCTAAACGACTGCAAAGTCACAATGTTGTCAGCTTCAGCCTGAAAAAAAAATTATGTTTTATACAATAATGAGAAACTGTACCTACACCATTTCATATGCTATGTTCAAATGACAGAGAGATGTGCAATTTTATGAGTATTGCAGCATTTTCTGGGTTTTTGATAGTTGGATTAACGTTCAAACTGCTTATATTAGCAACTCAATCCCTGTGCCATTTGGCATCATCTGCACCTCGGTATTCTCTTTTACTGGGTCAGCCTTGAGCCAAACTCGCCTGTTTGCTTCGGCCTTCCTCACTGTCTGGTCCTGCCATTCCTTTTCCAACCCAGTCCAAGTCTCTCTCTCCAGGCAATCTTAGTGCCTCCTGCACATATCACTTCTGGCTCCTTATTGCACTTGACTGCCCATCTCCCAGGGCACAATATTTTTTTCAGTACTATACTACAAGCAGACATGGGTCTTACTTTCCAGTGGGAATTTCTGGGTGTCCTTCAAGAGCTGGCAAAGACAGTGAGGGGAAACTGAGCAGGGCACCCTCAGTCTTAAGTCAGCAAGGAGGGCTGTGCTGCCATCCTTTTTTAGTCTATAAGGTTCTACATAGTTTTCTTTGACATGAAAGTTTCTACTGCTTTAAAAATAAAAATGAAAGGGACTAATCTATAGTATTAATGCACAGGTGACAAACATATTTAGAAGTGGTCTTGGGATCATCATTATAATATGTATTATAATAAAGGTATTAAGTGTTAAATAATTGAATAGCTATGATTTTTTGCATGCACCTGTAATGCTATGATACATGTTATAATTGTGTATGCTTAATATTAATATATTTATGTTTTCATACTTAAACTACACATTCAAAAACCCTGCTATATCCGTGGATCGGGAGCCACATATTCAACCACCTTGGGATGGAAAATTAGAGGAAAAAAAATGCATCTATACTCAACATGTACAAACCAGATTTCTTTGATCCCTAAATAATGCATTACAACCACTATTTACATTGCATTTAGATTTTATTATCAAAGGTAATCTAAAGATGATTTGAAGTTTGTAGGTTAAATGCAAATGTTACTGCGTTTTAGATGAGGAGCTTTAGCAAATCTACCCAGGATCTAAAAGGAAATCTCTTTATATCCCTAGTGTTTACGCCTATTATTATTATTATTATTATTATTATTATTGTCTTTTTGAGACAAGGTCTCCCTGTAGGCCCAGCTATCCTGGAACTCACTATGTAGACCAGGCTGGCCTTGAACTCACAGAGATCCACCTGCCTCTGCCTCCCGAGTGCTGGGTTTAAAGGCCTGTGCCACCACGCCCAGCCCTACGCTTATTATTTTAAAAAGAGGCACAGTAGGAAAAACACACTGTGTATTCAATGTGGTGATTTTTTAAGCAGGTAATCAACTTCAGTTACTGATTTTGAACTTAAAATTACCTTTCAGAAAGGGTCTTCAATTCCTTGGTTAACTGTAGAAAACAAAATCTCCAGCAGAAGGCGTGCCCCCATTCATCCTTGCTCACAACAGAAATACAAAGACTGTCCCCCCCCAAACTCACTTATTTTGAAGAAAATCATTTAATAAAACAGCATTGGTGTACATTAATATACTGTTGTCAATTGACTGTAAACATGACAGAAGATAAGCTATTCAGGACACAGAACACACTATTGAATTTGACACAAGCTGGAATTGTGAGTGGGGCTTATTTTTAAAAATTTGTACAGTACTAGCACTTCCCAATTGGGAAGATATACTAGAGGGATGAATTCCCATGGTGTAGGTTGAGAAATTTTGTACAGTGTAGGTACTGCTGTATACACAGTCTGAGACCATTGGGAAACATTGTTATAAGATGTGCATCCTCACACATCTCTATTATGAGCAGCCCTCTTTTGTCAAAGCTGCTAGGCTGCACTGAAATGGGGACCCAACAAGCTGTATTATCTGATTCTTCTCTCACACACTTCTACCCCTCAACCTTTATATTGTGTGCAATACACACGTGTATCCCTGGTTTGTTCCTAATCAGTCTCAATGAAGGAAAGGGATTTAATGACTCTAGATTTCTATAAGCATAGCATTAAATATAATTTCCTGCTGGCCTAAACATCCCTTACCTGACTTTACTGTGCCATGTTCCCTCCCAGGTAGCCTAATAGGTGAGCTTTCAGGTTGACTGGCAGGTGAACAGAAACCTACCATGTGGCCAGTCTCCTCCTGTGCCCCCCTCCACTTCCTGTGGGACACTGAAGTTTCCCTTAAGCGAAAGTATGTGAATTTCTATTAATTTTCTCAGAGTTTCCAAATTCCAACCACTAGGATGCACAAGTGTTTTATTTATTTTTTGTACTTTAAAAAAATTATTTTATGTGTACGAGAGTGCATTGCTTGCATGTATGTAAGTGCACCTGTGGTGTGCAATGCCCGTGGAGATCAGAAGAAGGCTTCAGATCCCATGGAACTGGAATTAGAGATGGTTGTTAGCTATCGTGTAGGTGCTGGGAATCAAACCTGGGTCCTGTGCAAGAGCAGTCAGTGCTCTTAACCTCTGGGTCAACTCTCTAGCCTCAAGCATTTTAACAGAAAAAAAAAAAAAAACCCACACAAAAGTTTCATTACAAAGATATGGGAATACTGCAGTCCAAAAAAGAATTTTCTAATCCTCCATTTTGTGACTGATCTGCCCACTGTGAGACATTTCTGATAGGGGCTTTTAACTTCTTATAACAACTCTTTGTAAACTGCATGCAGTAATATCGTCCAGGCCTTATTTTATGCTCTCTGATTTTAGTTTTTTTCCTCCTTTCCAAGAATCAAATCTGGAATCCCACCACACCTTTCAAGTGATTCTAAATTCTCACTGAAGCAGGTTGTTGTAAAATATTCTCTAAAAAGACTACAAAACCCAAAGAATGAAAAACAAACAGCAAAGAAAAGTCACAGCGTGAAAGAAAATATTTACAAGAAACATACCTGATCCAAGACTATTATTCAAAATGTACAAGGAATGTTAGCTATAGGTTGATGATAAAACAAAAAAACAAAAAACAAAAAGTCCAACCAATTGAAACAGGGCAAACGCACTGACAAACACCTCATCAAAAAAAAAAAAAAAAAAAAAAAAAAAAAAACAACAGAGATTGGGGGATGGAGAGATGACTCAGTGGTTAAGAACACTGACTGTTCTTGCAGAAGACCCAGGTTTGACTCCCAGCACCCCCATGGCAGCTAACAACTCTCTGTAACTCCAGTTCCAGGGGATCCGACAGGCTCTTCTGTCCTCCTCGGGCATTGCATGACACGGGTGCACTTACCTACACACAGGGAATACATGCATACACACAAAATAAAAATTTAAATAAAATATTAAAAACAAAACAAAACAGAGTCCCACCCGCAAGCCTCTCTCCGGGGTAAGCCCATCGTGCCCTCCATGCCTTGACTCCCCCAGCCCTATTCACCCTCCCATCTCCCCCACCATTCTCTCCTCCGAGCTTGGGCCCTGCCCATTCCTGGTCTTGGGGCCCCAGACACCTGGGGAACCAATACTGCTTCCTGACCTTTTTCATCCAGACCAACTTAGTGCCTTCTCTGGGCCGCAGGGGCACTGCTTCTAGACCTGGCCTGGCACTCAACTCCCCCTGATTCCCTGGGCCTGTACCACCTGCCATCCTCTTTCTATTTTGGGAGCTGACCTTTCCTCTTCCTGATTCTTTGCATCCAGACCAACCCACCTTCTCAGTGCAGTCCCCAGGAGTCCTTGGGGCCTCTTCCCAGCCCATCTGATGCTGCATCTCTGGGTGGCACAGCCACCAGCTGCCCTAAACTAGCATCTTCTCTGGGCCAGGCTCCCAGGCCAGTCCAACCTGCAAATTCCTGGGGCCAAAATCGGTCCTGGAGGGATCCAGACCTTAGGAGAAAGCCTGAAATCATCTGACCCTATCTTAATTGGGCCTCTGTGGGAACTCCTGAAGACAAAATCAATCTGGCCCTTCTAATATAAAATCAAGAGAGAGAACCAGAAGCTTAGAGGAACAAGCTTTTCATGCCCAAAAAGCAAACCACAAAACACATAAAGTTCACAAAAAGAAGTAGACTGAAACTTGCAAGGCCTGAGTCTCACACAAGAACCAGAAACTACAAAAGAAATTCACATGCCAAAATCACAGAGAAAAAATAATAACATGAAAAACCAAAATAACATATCCTTACCAAATACCAATAGTCCTCTAGAGGAGTACAATGAGAACCCCCTAGAGATAATGCAGAACATGGAACTCAAAAGAACAATTATGAGCATGATTAAGTAATTCAGTGAATTTAAAGAACACACAAAAAAAGAAATCAAAGAACTGAAGAAGATAGGGATAAACTTCTGAATGAATTCGGAAGAGTTAGAAATATTGAAGAATATTCCTTCTTCAGGCTGAAATGAAGAAGGAAGTGAAACACTCAGTAAGCCAATTAGAAATGACGGGAGAAAGCCTCACCAATAGGATGAATGAAATGGAAAACAGAGTATCAAGACTGGAAGAAAAAGTGGACGAACTAGACCACACAAGCAAAGATTATGAAAAATTTAAGAAATCAGAATAGAATATGCAGGAATTGTGTGGCACCATAAAAAGACCAAACTTATGAATCATAGGCATACAGGAAGGAGAAGAATCTCAAGATAATGGTGTGGACCAGATGTTCAACAGGATTATAGAA